TACAACTAGCTTTGACATATATTAAAATGCCCCATTATGAGACTAAAAAGAGTCACAATATTTGATTTTCAAGGAATTCATACTTTTTAAAAATATTTATGTTTTATTTGTAAGCCTAAGTGGAAGAGTATATATTTCTTTTGTTCTCTTCAAGTTGGATATTTTCTTATTTTTTATCTTAGAATTTAATTATATAGGACAATTTTGTTGGTCATTTTGAAAATTTTTTATTGACTAGTTAGGCACTTTTGTAGTGAATAAAAAAATCATTTAAATTATTTTTTATTAGAAAAACAAAAAAATAAAAAGTAACAAACATTTTTAGAGAAAGAAAATGGACTTTTTTTAGCACTTTAAGAGTAGGAAGAACATAGTGGTTTGTTTTCTTGATTTTTTATGATGCATACATTAAATTTGACATCATTGCATATGGTATGTTAGAATTGAAGATGAAAACAAAAAAGCAAATAAATAGGAGTGAAAATGAGAAAAAAAAAGTTAAGAAATCCTATTTAAAAAAAAAAATAGTGAAGGTTGGTAAAAAGACAATAAGGAAAATAAATGAAAAAATGAGGAAAATGACATATGAAAGTGGAAGAAGAGACTTTTTCAAGGAAAAAGTTGGAAAATTAATTTGGTGTGTAAGGAAGAATAAGTAGAATTAAAAAGAAAAAGTTTTTAAGCATTTGCATATTTCGACATGAACATTCATCTAGAAAAATGGTAGTTAGATCTTCACGATAAATATTCATAATCATATCTTTGTAGGTTGAATTTGCATCATAAAAAAGGAATGTGCAGTTTTATCACTGATAAGCATCTTTGCATGTGCATATTTATATTTGCATTTACATATTGGAAAGGACATTCACATTCGCATCAAGACAATTTGCATTTGCATTGTGATAAAAGCCATTTATATTTTACATCATGATGGTTGACCATTTGCATTTGCATTCTTGAAATATAGTCTTATATTTGTATGTTGACAGTTCCAAAGATCAATGCATTCACATTATTAGATTCGCATTTGCGTATGCATCATTGGATGATATTTACATTCACATCTTCTTTAAGAATAGTTAAACTTACAATTGTAGGGTATGCCTTAGCAATTGCATCGTAGTAAGAGTCGTATGTGTTTAATCAATGGGATAGAGATAAATATTTGCATTATTAGGATAACTATTTGCATCTTGAAAAAGAAATGTTTTAGTAAGAAATATTGCATTTGCATCTTTATAGAGGCATCTGTACCATGGAAAAATAATTTGGCATTCTCATCATTGATAAAAATTTGTTTATTTACATCTTTGTAAGTGCATTACAACATGAAAAAAATATTTGCATTTGCATTGTTGGTAGGGATTTTTACACTTACATAAAGACACTCACATTTGCACATTTATTTTGAAAATAGATGTATGCATCATAATTTACATTTGTTGATTTTGTAAATATATTGAGAAAAGAGAAAAAGGAAATTTGAATAGTTGGAGTTGAAAAAAATAGAAAAAAAAAAGAAGAGAAAGAAGTAAAAAAGAATAAAATTGGGTGCAAAAACAATAAACAAAAATTTTCAAGAGATAGGTCAAGGGTTTTTTTTTTTTTTATAATACTAGATTTTATTCAAAATTTATTAATGGTGATATTCGAGTTTTATGAAAATCATATGGCAAATTTTTATTCAAACTTCTCAATAATGATATTTGAGTTTTTTGCAAGTTTTGGTGATGATATATGAATTTTATTCAAAATTTCTCAATGGTGATGTCTAAGTTTCCTTTGGTGGCGATATCCATAAATTCTTTAAATTTCCTCGATGGTGATATCTGAATTTTCTCTAAACATCTACATTTTCTCGATGGCAATATCTAAGAAAACCCTTCAATTACAATATCTGAAGTCATCTTACATATTCCTCGATAATGATATTAAAGACATCTTGCCTTATTTTCGGTAACGATATCCAAAGTTTGAATGAATAAAAGAGGAAACTTGAATGAATATCGTTTCAAAGCTTTCCTCATCTTGAATTTTCCTAAAAAAAATGAAACACAATGGCCTCATTTATGGATTGATCAAAATTATTCCAAGAATTGAGGGAAAGGGAATGACAAATTTTTGTTATGGTTATTTCATTTTCCCCATTCTTTTATGTTTTTTCAAGTTTTTTTTTTTTTTTAATTTGATGCTTGTTGTGGAGGAATTAAAAATGATGTTTTTCTTCTCCTTTTTGTATGTGGTTTCTATGTGTTTGAAGCATGGTTTTTGGTGAAAAATATTTTTTATGTTGATTTCAAAGTGTTTGTGAAATGCTTTGATGAAAAAAAGGCCATCATTTTCATGCAAGGCCAAAAAGCCAATAGAAAGCCCTAAGGAGGGTCTCATCCTAGGCCATTTTCCATGTCTAGCTAAGACCTCTCCTTCTCCATGATGCCTCTTTTTTGTTTCTTAAATGGTCCTTATGTTACGATAGTAAAATCTTTTGCTTACAATGTTTTATTCATGTTTTGTTTTAAGAGTATGTTCTTTAGTAAATGTTATTTGGTCATTTTATTGTAATAGGTTTAATTTAAATCACATTCATCATTTGCATTTAAGTTTAGCATTAATAAATGTCATATTCATTTACATGCATGTTAATTACATTTTACATAAACATTGATCCCTCATGAAGAATTGAGAGTAATGATTATTAGGCTTGCTTTAAAAGTTAACTTAGATATTGGGGATTTGAGAAGAGGTCTAAGTGATCATTGGTTCCCATTTTTCTCTATAAACCAAGCCTAAAACTTTAAAACTCTAAACTTAAAAAATCTTAAAACCTTAACCCTAAAAAATCAAACGTTTAAAACATGAGTCCACCCTAAACCATATGTCCAAAGCCTAAAAGTTAAACCCCAAACCTTAAAATTCAAACCCCAAATCTCTAAAAGTCAAACCCTAAAACTGGACCCTTGTCAACCTTAAATTTGAACCCGTACCAATAATAACAACAAAAAACTAAGCGTTATATCTCATAATTCTAGGGTCAGCCATGTAAAAGGCTAAAAAAAGAATCATGTTAGGTCATAATTTTAAATATTCTTACGCCATTCATTCCTATTAAAAATAATCTTTCATTTACTTTTTTAACCCCTGTATCGTTCCTTAACCTTAAAAACAATCTTAAATTTGAACCCTTACCTGAAACCCTGAAAGAGAACCCTTGTTCAAACCCTAAACTCTAACCTTTAACCTAAACCCAAATCTATGCTGCATTCATGTGCATTTTTATTTGCATTTACACATTCAATTTATTTTGTATTGCATTTAAATGAATTTTAATTGGCATTTACATTGCTTATTATAGTCATATGTACTTTTAATTGGCATTTACATTAGTTAATTTGTTGCATTCATGTGCATTTTATAATTTTATGGCAATTAATAGTTTCAAAAAAAGAAAAAAAATTTAGAAATACAAATAAGATGATCTTTTAAGTAAAAATAATTATTAGGAACTTATCTAGATGTTGGAGGGATTCTTAATAATTATTTTTTATGAAGGAATATTATTTTTGGTTTAAGAAACATTATGGAAATCCTAAAGTAGAGAAATTTGTTTTCGAAATTCCAAACCAAAAGTTTTCATTTTAATCAAAATAAAATGATTGTTTTTAAGGAAAAAATGAAAAAATAATTTTGTGATAATAAGTGAAATTTAATGAATTATTTTTAAGTACTAAAATTAAGACTTATATTCAAGGCTAAGGATAACATGCGATTAATTAATATCATTAAAAATAGGTGCTATAAGGTGTTAATTATTCTCTATGCATAACTACACTCTTGAACTCAACTCTGTTTTCAAATTTAAAAATTAATTTTTTGATAACTAATTTTAGGATTTTATTAAAAAGATAAATTTTTTAGATAACCAATCATATTTAATTAAAAAACATTGGTGATGACTCTCTGTTTTGATTTAATTTATTAAAATTCATCTAGCGACCAAGTTTCCACCCACACATTATGACAAAAAGCACAAACTTTCAATTATTTTGGTTTATGTATGGACCTTACTTATTTCTTCAATGTGCGATACTATTTTGATTTAATTTTTTAAAATTCGTCTAATGATCGAATTTTCAAACTCGCACCTTATGATAAGAAGCACCAATTTTCAATCATTTTGGTTTATATACTAACCTTACTTATTTTTTTCAATATGCAACAAACAAGCCTATTGCAAAATTAAGAACAAGTTTGTAGGTTTTAAATGTAGGCTTTATATATATATATATATATATTAAAACAATCAAAATTTAAATTTTAATAAATAAAATTAAAAATTCAACATTTTACTATCGGACTATGCAACTATCTCTTGAAAGCAGACATTATCTAAAGAAGACCAAGAAAACGAAACTCTAATATTTGGAAAAGATTATCATGTATATATCCTAATATTTTAAGCGCAAAAACCCTTGGAAACATCAAGTACTTGGAAGTAGAAAATCTTCTGCAGGCACTGGAATTCTTGCTACTAGTCAGTCCCACTTCTAATATCAAACTCATGCATGGTTAAAATGGTTGAATTTATTACAATATAAGTATATAACCTTCCCCGCGTACGTCAGAATCAAATGCCCCTCTCCGCAGGACTAGGATTCTAGCCTACCTTGAATTTTATCTATTAACTTTTTACTAGGCATATCCAACATGGTACTGTTTTCGTATACAGGAAAAAATAAAAAAATAAAAATAAAGTGAAACATGGAGCTTTGTCTGCAGGAGTCAAGTTCTTAAAGAAGCTATCAACCTTGTCAGACCGTGTTTTATGGTTCATTTCTGTGACCATCAAAATTGGAGTTATTAACCTTGTCAGGCTGTGTTTCATCGTTCGAAATGAACCAATATTTGCCAGAGCAGGCTGGTCAAATGCATGGGCATGAGATATGGATTCAGTGATAATTTCCTTAAAAACTCCACAACAAAGAAGCCAAATTACTACAAGACCACAAAAGATATCATCGACTCTTATTATCATTGAGCAAGCGAAATTGTAAAAAAGAACGTCATTAAGTTGTATCTCACTAGTAAAATGTGAGGTCGGTATATCAAAGGATTACGATAGAGTAGTAATATGTACAAGCCAATGTTCTTATTATTAATTGGATGGTCCAAGAATATTTCAAGTTCTAATAACAGGACCCTTGTACAGCCCTCTCCGAATCACAAAGTTGTCAGATGGCTGAAACTCTTCCAACCAAGTCACTTGAGAGAACGTCACTCCATTCACTTCAATCTCACCTGCATTTAAACAAGGAAAAGAATAAGAGTTGATGTAGTTATTTGTCCAACCAAAAGTCTCGTGACAACATATCAAAGAAGCTACAATCAATTACTAGGTTCAAAGTTATATTTCATACCAGGTAAATCCCTTCTTGGGGGCTTCCGGAAATAAGTACAATGTCGTCCATGCTCTGAAGAGTAAGGTGGAGATAAAATATCAAAAATAGCACAGGGAGTTCTGGCCCTGAAACAATGGATGTTGCCTCCACTTGTGGGATAAAGTACTGTTGTTGCAGAAGGGGCCGTCATTTCAGTATCCTTAACAAGTTTTGCAGGTCTTGCTACAAAGAACCAAGAATAAGCAAATTGAAGTCAAAGATCGAAGAATATATAAGCACAACAAACCCTGGGATGGGTGAAGAGAAAATGCATTATTTAAAATGAGGGATACACCAACACTTTATCTATAAATAAATTATCAATACCAATATTATAACATGTATTGAACAAGCAACCGTTATATTTCACAAATGGTACAGATAGACAGTTTTCACTGCCATAAGCCCCCACAAATCACTTCTATTAATAATAATAAAAAAAAAGATATAACCTAGATCTAAGAAGTCCCATGTATTTGATTTCACAAGTTCATTAGCCTTGTTCTATTTTGCATGCTTTGCAAGTCACACATCTATCACAAAAGCCAAAATAAATAAAAGAAGCATAGATAGGGCTACCACCTTAGTACATCCTTGAAATGTCAGAGATGCAAATCGGAAAAATGGTAAAGTCTAGAGCTGACAATTTCAGCTACTACACGGTGATATAACATGAAAACAACACGAAAAAATCGTGTGTTAAAAAAACGTGTTTCGTGTTTATTCATATCGACACGAATTCTAACACCACATAATTTGTATCGTATATATGTTGACTAGTTTAAACATATGACATGACACGAATAATATATTTAATTTAATCTTATCATACAAATACATGTTTAATATGTTAAACACGTTTAACATATTTTTTATATTTATTTTTATTTAATATAAACATATAAAAGATTATTTTAATTTTTAATATTTTAATTATAATACTTAATTAACTATTTAATATCATTTAAAAACTATTTTAAACATTTTTAATAATGACACTCATTTAATAATTATTATAAAATTATTTTTTATATTAATAATATAAATACAATATAAATATTAATTCTATACATTATTATTTTATTCTTTAATATTTAATAGTTTATTATTTTGAATTTGATTCTAAAAATTAATATATTTATGTAATATAAATTAAAAAATATATATTACATATATATTAAATGAGCATTAAATTTTTTATTGTTTTAATATGTAAGTACCTTTTTATATTATTAATATGCCAAATTTATTAAGTTATAAATTATTGATAGTTTATAGTTATTTATTATTTTAGTCGTGTTTTTATATATATATATATATATATATATATACATTCGTGTTAATTATGTCTCTTCATATACATCTTTATTATTCGTGTTTAAATGAATTAATTGTATACGTGTTAATCGTATCATGTCACATGTAACATGTATATTAAATGTGTCATGTTTGTGTTAAGTCATGTTAAGGGTTTAGACACATTTTATAATTCGTGTCGTGTTCGTATTTTAATAATTTATGTCACTACATGTGTTAAACATTACACGAGACATGATATAAAAACACGAATTGTCAAGTTTAGCAAAATCTATAAAAGGATGGGCAAGAACAACAATGCAAATCTATGAAATCTATACAATATAATGAAAGTAGTCCCCAAATTGGGACTGTTCATTCACTGATCACTAAGAGCCCAAATTTGTGCCAAGTGTTGCACATCAATTGGTTCCTCAAATTTTTTAAAAAATTGTTTTAGTTAAGCCCTCTTATCTCCAACACTCTTTCTGTCTCTCTCTGTCTATCTCCACTCAATGCAAGAAAAAAATAAATTATCAAAAAAATTGAAAATCAAAAAAGAAAAAAAAGAATACTTGATCAAATAAAGAACATTTCTCAGTTTCATGTCTTAAAATTTTTTTTTTCAAAAAAAGAAAAAGCTGCTTTATTTTTTGTCCAAAAAAAAAAAATCCCTTTTGTCAAACTAATGCAAACTTAGGAGAGTAATTTAGATGCTTAATTGAATGACGCATCCTTAGTTGTAAGACTTGATTGGGTTGAACTGAATGAGTTATAAGACATAGATTGTAAGGTTTGCAATTAATTGGGTTCATGAATACTGCACTGATTTTTATTTTTTGTTTTAAATTTCATGAATCTAAGTATTTATGAATTTAATTCTTCATGAACTTAACCATTCATAAATTCATAGTATCCATGAACTCAATTAATTGAGGATGGATGTACTTTGTATTTAGTGTCATTTACATTTAATATTTTGAGTCTAAATTCATATATACTATCGTGTAGTATAAATAACCATGAATCAAACTCATATTACATTAATCTAATTATTCATGAACTTAATCATTCATGAATATATAATATCCATAACGGATGAATATGCTTAATAATTAGTGTTATTTAACATATCTATTAAATAGTATAAATACACATGAATCAAATCCAAATAATAATATTTTAGTTTGATTTTTTATGTTTCAATATGTTGTAAAAGTATAAAGTATTTGTTTTATATCATTAGAAATTAAGTTTTATTTTTTAGTTTATACATCAATAGTTCCATTTGAATGAATTTATTGATTTGTTCACTTGAGGTATTATTTTATAAGTATTTATTATTTATTTATATTTAATAAAATTGTGACCTGAGAGAACCTGGGTAAAATTTTCTAGTATTATAATATGGCACGATTCTAAAGTCAAATTTGCTTAGCCAACTGGCATTCCCATGATGCCACCTAAGTAGCATGGACGCAGAAGAGACAACATCGTACCAATGCTGTACATATGTCCAACAAGGCAGAATATGTGTTGGACACCAATGGACACACAAAGAAAAAATAGACACGGTCAAAACATGCTCCAACACGGTGAAGACACACAAGATGGAAGGTTGTGCTTAAAATTTTCTCTAAAAACAGAGAATTATAAAACCCATAGAGAAATTAATCAAACAAGGAAGAATAACTAGCCAGAATTAAAGTATAAAACTAAACAACTGATGAATTCCATATTTAGATTCAAGCATCACCTGTTAATTTGTTGAATTTTTGAAGGTTGAAGAAGATGAAGGATGGAAGAGATGGTAAAGGTGAAGACTCAGAAAAATATCCAGTCACATAGGGATATTCTATTTCTTCTTATTAGTTGGTCTTTTTGCTTTCCTTAGCTATTACACTGTGCTTTCTTTAGTTATTATCTCAGTCAATGAATGAAAAATGGACCCATTAAGAAAGGGCTTTTTTAATTTTTGTAGAAATAATATGGTAATGGACCTTAACTACAATTAAGAATTTTTAAGTTAGGGCATAATTTAATTATTGAATAAGGGCATAAACTAAATTCTTATTTTGGATCTTATTTACATTGAATATTTTAACAAAAGAAATATATAAAAAATATTTTATTAATATCATGTCTGGACGTATCTATATAGCACGTCCGTCTCAATGCTTCATAGGCTGACATCTAAGTAAAAAATTCAACCACTTAAGGGGAATGTTGACCGATCATCATTAAGATGCTTGTTACCACTTACTAAAGGCCAGATCCATCATACTAGGACGTTATGAAGATGCTGGATGTCTTCTAATCTTGTCTATAGCAGGGTTGCCTAAGCCATTATCTACTTGCTGTCATTTAATCATGACACTGCAGACTGCCTAAACCTTAACTGCTTATATATTTGGGATTTTTTGTATGTTTGGTAGTGTTATATGGAGAGGAGAGAAATTAATTAAGTGTTGAATGTGTGATGCATTCCTAGGGAGTGATTTCCTAATCCTAAGTGTGCTTTCTGAAGTTATTGTCTTCTTTGACATCAGTTTTCATAGTTCACCTAAATTCCCTTTGTTTTCCACTTCCTAATTTTCTGATTGTTTATGTTCACATATCAACAAATCTTTCTATTGTTATTGTTTGAACCAAAACATTAAGTCCTAAACCAGCCTCTATCTAGTCTAAAGTGTGCTGTTTATAAAGAGCCTACATCAGTCAGCTTTTACCCCATAATACCCCAAGATTGAATAATTGTTTGATATGCATGACCTGTTTGTTCAACTTTCCTACACTTTAGTGTGCACCAAGTTTAAGTAAAATCAAATATACCCATAAGAACACATTCTTTGATTCTAACTTTGCCACTGACTCAGCTCCATATCCATGTTTCAATGAATGATTCTAATTTGAATTAGGGCTCAATATATTTGGAATGGGTTAAATTCCATTTAGAATTGTATTACGAGAAACCCAACCTGAACTCAATGAGAAAACTCATCAAATGTCAAAAAGAAATACTTTCATTGGCTTCTGTAACTATTTATTTGGTCAGGTTTGGTTTCAAAAAGGATAAACTGGAACTTGTTATTGATGAAAATTCCATTCAAATCAAACTGTGCATTCCCCTAGCTAAGTAAAGTAGCAATCCAAAAACTAGCCTCCAAATATCTAACCAAAGCAATAGAAAGAAAATATGTAAACTACATCTACACAAGCTGAGGAATTCAATAGGCCTCACTTCTTTAGATGCTAGCAGAAAGGCTCTTTTCATCGTCCCTATTTAATGAACCATTAGCTGTAACCAAAAAACTTCCAGCATTTAGTATTTCACTAGTCTTCTTCCTCCTATTCCACTGAATTTCGACCAAAATAAACTTCAATCTCAAAATATATCCTCTGTTATATTTGAACCAACAAACCACCAGCACATGGATAACTAAGTGCAATGCAGGTTATACAGAAACTGTATATTATTACAAAGCAAAAATAGATTTAAAAATAGGTTCATTTCTCTCTCTCTAGTCTTACATAAATACTAATCCTATGAAGCCAAATGGTAAAGAACAATAGTTACACACTATTTCTAACTTCAGAAGATTAACAAAATTTTATAAAGGGTTCTAAATCTTCTATAATAAATTACTAAAGAAAACTCCTGAAATCTGAAAAGAATTAAGAATTAAAAATGGGACTGTGAGGTTTCAAGGAATTTAAAAGAGGTTTTCATTTCAGAGTCAATTCCATACAAACCTATACATTTGTTATCAAATTTATATACAGGTACCTATGATTCAATGAACACCCTTAATCATGGTTTAGTTAATAGGCATCAAATAAATATGAAAATGCTAAAAACACACCTTGTAGTGCATCTTCGGGCTCTGTTGGGTCAAGCCAATCATATGACTTTACTTGTAATGAGCCATAGATAAGCTTGCTCAGCACAGTCATTCCCGGATGATTATGCAGAGGTATCATAGAAGAAGGCGGCATACAAAAAATTCCTATCTGCAGAGAAGAGAAACAAAAAATGAAGGACTGTTCATCTCAATTATTGCAAGTTCAATTTTCAAAAGTTAAAATGCAATTTCAGAGAAGTGTTAATTTTAATAAATCCTTGGGACATTTCCAGCTAAAAGCAACTTCCTTGTTTTAAAACTCTAAAAGTTATATGTACTCAATCATAGGTGATATTTAGCAAGAAAGGTGACAGGTGATATAAGGTTCGTACTTACAGAGAAGCTGTCACACTCATGTAAGTGCAGATACTTAATCGGTGGCAATGACAGACGGCTTCCATTCCGCTCATGTACAGGACCAGACCAATTACGTACCACTTGAGCCTCCTGTTCCAGACCTACATCAGATGGCTTCATTTTCTCTGAAATAAAATGCCATTTAGGCTATTGAACTTGGAGACAAACAATTTGAAGAACAAGCCTTTAAATCTAAGTTGCCAGATTTAAAAAGAGGAAAATTTCCACCTGAATAAACTGCATAAGGAAATATGTAGACTAACAAAATTTACAACATTTTTTTCTACAGCCTATACCAGCTTTTTTGCCCTTTTTCCTTTTCTGGAAATTCTGGCTGGTAAATAAGCATTCATTAATGTCAATTGATCCTATGACCAACAAAGCTATTTTGAAATTTTATCTCAAAGATTCAAACTGCTTACACTATTAAATGGATGCATCTTCTCATTGTAAGTAGGAAAAACTTAACAGCAATAAATTCAAAATTTCTCTCAATCCTACATATCAAACATTAACTTCCTTCTCACCTAATTTACACTTATAATAGTAAAGGAATCAAATGCTGTTTGCATAAATGTGTAACAAAATAGGGCAGGAAAAGTTCAATATTTGGTTTAAATGAAAGAAAAATAATCTGACATTTCCAGGCTTCATAATATTCAATATTGAAAGGGTTGCAGAAAATAAGTGACCAGAAGCACAGAAGAAAACATTACCTAGAAAGTTAAAGCTACATTTTTCAACAATGTTATCTAACTGAATTTATCTCAACTAGGAAGGATTGGAGCATAAGTTACTTTCAATGAAAACATATTAAACATTATCAAAAACAATCATAATACTAAATATAGAATACAAAACTTCAATTCCAAAGAAAAAGTGAAATACAAGACAAAGGAATCAAAAGTGACAATAAATACTCCGGGAAGAAATGAGAAAAAAAGCAGTTTTCTAAAGAAGCAAATAAAAATCACGATTAAATTGCACCAGACATCTATGACCTTTGTATGATATTCCATTTTCATCCATGACCATTAAAATTCAATTTTTTTTATCTGTAACCTTTTAAAAATGTTCCAAATTCATCTATTCCATCAACTGCCATTAAAATCCAATGGAATTTGCCATTTCAGAGCCATGTAGAAGTCCATGTGGCAAAGTTAGGTGTGCCTTGGACACTTAGTGGGCCACAATAAAAAGGGGCTTGTTTGACTTTTTGGGCTAGGATTTATGCCACAATGGGATTCACATGGCTTAGAGGTGGAATATTTTGTTGATCTTTTAATGGTGGTAGATGGAATGGATAGAATCATTTTTCAAAAGGGTGCAGATCCAAAAATTGAGTTTTAAATGTCATAGATGAAAGTCAAATATTGCAAATAGGTATGGAGGATTGGTGCATTTCACTTAAATATTGCTCATTTGTCACTGTGGAAAAACAATCTTATTCAGTACATAAATATGTCAAAAACTCCAAACATCAAGGGATTGGGGTTTCTTCTCCCTCATCAGGGACACTACTTAAGGTTGGAAGAGGAGCTAGAAGAATAAGTTCACAAATATATAGAATGCATATGCATCTCTAAAAGCAAACATCAAGTACTCTAGGATTTTTCTATTTTATATGTTTCTAGAAACAAATATGATGTTACTTAAATTGAACTTTTCAATATTGAACATTAAGGACCAAATTTTTAGTTCTAAAAAGTGTAAGTACTGAATTTATATAATAAAAATTGACTGTCTACTGTTGGAAATTAAATATTGAGCAGATCTTCTATTCAATTTTCGTAAAAGTGAAACGTGACTTTATTAGAATTTTTCATTAATAAAAGTTACAAAAGGAAAGAACGTAAAATAAATGTAATTAAAGGACAAAATTTTCCTTAAAAGAGATTGTTGAATACATTAAGTGGGCTTTAACTACTTAATATTTTCAACTCTTTTGCATGAAAAATCTTTCATTAAGGTATTTTTTGGCAGTGTTGTCAAGGATGCAAGGCAGTCTAGGTGCTAGAACTCTTATATTGCTTGAGGCACAAAGCGCTCGCCTGAGTGATGCAAGGTGTAATCTGTATGTGTGTGTAAAATAAGCATAACATACTTACATATATATATATATAATTCTAATAATAAACTCTAAAGAATGGTCCATTTTTTATCCTACAAAACATGCAAACTTTCCTCTCTTTTTTCCCTTTGTTTTTGGCCAATATGCATGATTTCCTTATGGTCACAAGTTTGTTGTTGAATACTCAAAAGATAGAGAAGTAGAGAGTTAGATATTGTCCCTTTTTTATTATTAAACATACAGTTAAGGAAAAAAAATAAAGATAAATAGAAATGAAAGAAAACTTCAATTAGGCGGACTTTTTTGTGCCTAACGCCTTAAAAAAAGTGTTCCTGGTGAAATGCACCTTTCCCGAAAGGGTTTGAGGCACTTTTGTCGTCTGACACTACAGCTTAGCACCCAGGCATGCTTAAGATCACCGTGGTTGTCTAATCACCACAGAGATGAGATCACAAAGTGATATAATCAATAGTAATCTTAGATTATCATGTTTGGTGTAATATTACAACTCACTAGTGATCTTAAGTCACCAAGTTAGGTATTGCATAGAAAAGAAAAAAATAATTCTCAAATGCCAATAAAAGAACAGAACCTGTTCCACAATAATGGAGCTGCTGCTCAAAGTGAAGAAAGCAGTACAATTTTCAGTTTAACTCATGATACTACAAGCTCTTCATAATCAACATGGTGCTTCAAAGATAACTAGTTAATATAATTTTGAAGATTGATGTATGCCTAAAGGCAACTGGCAGTGATATTTTTCCTTCAGACATGATGGCTAAAATGATTAAATTAAATAGAAATCAAATGAACTAGAGCTTAAAATCAGAGAATAGGAAGATTATTTCCTTAAAAGCATAATGAAGTTCTGGGATAGGTATTTGTCAGATGGATAACAAATTTCTTACTCTACTCAAATTCACTTTGTCTACAAAAGTTTACAATTTTTGCAATTAAATCCAGTGAAAATCTGGAAATGTTTGCCAATTACATTATGTCAGAGCCTCTTCCTACAGGGAAAAAATTTGAACTTAAAAATCCCCAATAATAAAGCTTATTAATTTTTGGTTTTAATCACTAAGCCACAACGAAATTTGGTGTCCTGTTAGCAAAAAAAAAAAAAGTGTGGAACTATTTATTGGTAGATCATAAACTTGCCAAGAAATGGTTACACTAGGTAAGGTATGAAGCAACTTCCAACAGCTGATGTCATCCAAACAAAGATCAACTGACTTAAATTAATTAATCTAATAAGAGTAAATTAGCATGTTTCGATTTTGATTGAAAAATTGCATAAAAAAATGCTAGAAAAATTAGCTTTCACTTTTCATGGTATTTAATGACTACTGCATCTGAAAATATGAGGAAATTAAGAGCAGCATTCAACAGGATTTTATCCCAATAAGAACAACTAATAAAGCCTAGCAGATTTGGTTCAACCATAAGCTCAAAGAATAAACATGAGGCAATGAAAGAATCATTAGTGAATACCTAGAATAGCACGAACTCTTTCAAGAGCTTCTTCAGAAACAGGGCCATTGGGCGAGAATGACGCTCTGCAAGTATTATAAAGCCTCTGTATATAATACGGCATGGTTATTAAGACGATACCAACTTAACTGAACGGACCAAAAGCCTCTATATCAGTAAGCTGATAACGCCTTTTTGCAAGTTGATATTGCAATAAAAGATACAATTTGGTGACAACTGGATCTGTGAATTAAACCAACAGTAGTAGATCTTCATGGCAATTATCTCATCATCCCTCCCTGCCAATCTCACTCACGACCACCCCATCTAACAAGGTACAAATTGAAGCCAAAGTAAATAAATTTAACTCATCTCAACCAAAACACTAATTAAATAAGTATAAAAATCATGGCCTCCCTTATTTCTTTTTTTTTTTTTATGCGACAAGTGCTTTTTGGGCTTTGCCTAGTACATCTCTTTCTAGGACCAGTCCAAGCAGATTTATCTAGCCAGCCTCCCTTATTTCATTTTATAAGGATAGAATGCCTAATTCTATAATTACTTTTACTACACTAACCGAGCCTGGGAAAACCTAAGCAGTTCAATTCAAGTAAATAGTCATAGAAAACAATATCAATTATTTCTCGTTTCATAATTTTCCAAAATAAAGGTTAAATACAAAAGAAAGCAGAATCTATTTTTCTCGGAGGGTTTAGGTTGCCAACAAAACAACAAAAATAAAATAAAAAATACGATAAACATAAAAAATATATATAACAGAAAAATAAACAATTATTTGAAAATAAAAAAATTATTTATTTGCAAGAATTAAACGCAATACCAGAAAGATGTGAAAATAGAATAAAAATTGAACTGACCAATTTCAGATCCATCAAACCAATTGTTTGGTTGAGATGGGCGTGGCCGCGTGGGGAAATAGGATAAAGAGGGCTTGGAGGAATTTATTTATTTATTTTTTTATGAATTTTAAGAAGCAGAGCAACGGAGAGAAGTACCCCAGGACGAGAAAAGGGATCGCTGAGAGCAATGAAACAAATTGAGAAAGACGAACCAATATCTTGGACACGTCATTAACTTCTTCTTTGATTTTGCCTTTCTGGGCTTGTCCTTAAGGCCTCCGATTAGCTGCTCTGCTTTTTCACCAACTACCTGTTTCGGCCTTTCTTATATCACGTGATTTTACCATAAAATCATTTTATCTAATACCTTTCCGGTTGGAATTAAGTAGATATCTACTTCTAGATTATTATTATGACTTAATATAAGTTTTATTGTTGTAATTTCAATTTTATTTAATTTGTTATTGTAAATTTAATTTTATAATTTTTTTTAAATAACGAAATTAGAACAATTCATGAATATTTAATTAATGCATTGGTAAATTTTGTTAGTATATTTCAATTTCATTGATTTCGTAACAGAATTAAAAATATTTTAGGAAATACTATGTTAATGCAAATAGTAACTTCTCATTAATCCATTACTTTATGTTTAAAAATTAAGAAAATTAAAAGTGCAGCAGTAAAGTTTAACAAAATTAAAATAATAATGATAAATTTTAATATTAATTCTTAGTATAGCGTTGAATTTGATATTAATCTCATTACTTTTAATAGTTACTCTACAAAATTTTAAGCACGTGTATTCAGTAGGTAATAATAATTCGTAAAACAAATCCAATGTATCACATAACTTAATTAATCCTCATGAGTATCATAATCAATTAATAAATTTAAATTTGTATACTTCCTTTATAATTTGTTTACATTAAACTAAAAATTTGAAAAACATATGCTACTAAAATTTTGACAATAAATTATGAAAAAAAAAGAGAGTTTGTTGATTGATACTGCAAGTGTCCGAATCATAACAAGCAATATAACAAGGAATCGAGATCATTCCTACTAAAATTATAAATAGAATTAAAGTTAAGTATCAAAATTAAAATATTTTAATTATATTCAGACTAATAAAAAAGAATAATTAAGTAATTACTTATGTAAATCAAACTTAAATAACTAAAACAACAACTTAAAATTAAAGTAAAATAAGTAAAAACAATAATTAAATGCAATAATAACTAAATATAATCAAAACAGAAATTAAAGAGTAGAATAAAGTACGCAAATAAACAAGTAAAACATAAAATAGAAATTAAGTTAATTATAAACTGAAAAGAGCAAATAACTTATAAAATAATAAACTTAAAACTAAATTAAACCCTAATATCATATAATTAAACTAATGCAAGAACTATGAATAATAAACCTTAAAAGTAAAGATAATTGAATTTAAACCTTAAATCTAAAGCAAGAAACTAAAACAATGCATAAGGACGAATTAAAATTGAAAGCAATACTAATAGCAACTAGTCTAAAGCAAACTAATTTCATGTAGTTAAAATCTAACTTAAAACTTAAATATGAAATTATAAAGCATGGAATTTAAATTAGAACAGAAAACCTTCCAAAAAACTTAAATGTGTAATTAAAGATTGCAAAGAAATTAGCAATAGAAATTTAAAAGCTACAAGAACAACATTGAAATTGAATTTTAAATGAACTTGAACATTAATTTCTAAGAACTTGAATTTAAAGAACATAAAGTAAATAGCTAGAACTGAATTTAAAAGAACTAAATTAAAAACTTGGAATTCAGAATAAGAAAAGAACAAGATTGGTCTGTCACCTTAATCCAAACTAATTTAAAGAACTTTACAAACTAAAGTAGAATGAAAGAAAATCTAAGACCAAAGGCTGGCCTATCACTCCAAGTTCATACTTTTTCCTCTTCATAAACCTAACTATTTATAGGAAAAAGATTACAAGAAACCCTAAAGAGATTCAACTATTTCTTTAGAAGATGAGAAGTTGATTCTTTCTTAAACTCTTTCAAGCAGCTCTCAATGTCCCAACTTTAAGCTTCTTGCAGTCTTTTTTTAGTAAAGGTCTTGTATGGTTAAGTCTTTAAACAACTTAAAATCATGAAGTTTTCAGCTGCTTAACTCTTTTTGAACTTTAAATCTCTTAAAATTTAAGAATAATGATTGGCTAGGTCTTTTTCAAGAGAAAATAATATTTTGTTGTTACTTAAAAACCATTGGCAACCTTCAATCTTCAATTATGATTTGGCCTTACATATTTTAAGCATTTCTTGGTCTAGGATTAGGACTTCTTGAATAAAAGAGAATTGGGTCATTTGTTCTTGTTAATAGCCTACCAAACTTGATCTTTATAGTATTTTAGACTCTTATTTAGACCACTTCTTAGATAGGGCATGCCTTAGACACCATCTTAGGCTTATCCTACAACTTGGGCTTCATACATCTTCTTTAGTGTATCGCCTATACCTTTATATACTCTTTTACCTCATGCAATCTTACCTTAGGTAGGAATACCAAGTCAACCTAGGATTCCTAGTCAACCTGAAAAACCTTTCCTCAAAGTTAGCTTTACCAAGTATCTCTTAATTAAGATAAGAATTTGAAGACAAAGTAGGATATCTTAGTTAAACCAAGAATCCAGTAAAAGTGGAAAAATCTTTTTCTAGTAGGAAAAGTAATGAAGAGTTGATATTTTCCAAGTTAAGGTAGAATTTGTCAAGAATTCTCCAACATTTAGCAAGATTTCATCTTTTTTTCAAGATTACATGCACATCAAATTAAGCATATTAGGAGTAAAAATATTTTTATTTAACTAAAAATAAAATAATATTCATTCATTTAAGCACTGAAAATAAGTTTAAATAACTCTATTTTATAGAGTTATCATTTGTATATAGTTTAAGTTTTTATTATAAACCAAATAATAATGCATGATAATTCGAAAAAAATCTACTAGTGATTAATAATTTTTATTTCAAACTGAAATTGATATAGTTTATGACATTTATAACCAAAAGCATATTACAAAATAAACAAAATATCCAACAATTGTATGATTTATTGGTAAATTGCTAGATTTTCAATTTTAGAGACTAAAATTTAAATTCTTTACAACCTTAAATATATAAAAAAAATATAACTAAAAGCGCTAACTTAAGATTCTTAACATTTAAAGCATTTTAATGAAGTTATATGTATAATTAATAATTACAATCATAATCAAATATTATATCTCAAGTTAAAAATTGTTAAACAAATAAATCATCTAACGAATTAGTATATAATTGGATAAATTTAGCATACAATTAGATCAAACTCACACATAGTAAAACATAAACTGAAAAATATATCTAAACATTCTAAAATCTCCTTTTTCTTTTGAGAGAATGTCTTATTTGCTAAAGCATTTTAATTTGAAATAACTCAATATCAATACAATCAATTAAAGATATTCCCTTTTCAATTGCTCTTCAATTTATTGCCAATTCACCAATTTTATTATTGTCATAATTTATTGATCTAGAGACTTGCTGCTGGTTGACATAAAAATTTAAAAATTACGAAAAACATGAAAAGTTGCCACCAATCTTTTTTGGAGTGTGATTAGCCACAAAAAATTTTATTTTTTAATAAAACAATAAAACAAGTTTAAAGCTTTATTAAAAAGATAATTTTGATCTACTAAAATAGATTGGGTTTATGAGTCAATTATGTGTGGAAAAAGATTCGTACCCCCCAACGCCTACAAAATTGGTACTAATTAATTATACGCTATTTGTAATTCTGGATAAAAAAGTTTTTTTATGTGAAATTTAGTTATAATTCCCTTTGTTTGTAAAAAATAAAATTAGTTTTAAAAAAATCCTTTATTTAAGAATATCATGAAAATCTTTAAATTAAAGAAATACTTTCAAAGTCTTTGACATTAAAGCAGGATTTAAAGCTAGCATTTTCATTTAAGATTTATCTTAACATTCCTTCTAAAATAATAAAATAACACTTTTTGTAAATGACAATCATTGATGATATTCCAACATATAGACATAGTACCAACAATTATATTTCAAATAATGCTATATTAATTTTATTTGATCAAAACTAAAAAATTTTAAGAAAGCTTTTTATGTAGTAAAAAAATATATAATTAATATTAAACATCCATAACTAGAGAAAACATATATATATATATATATGCATTATAAATAAGGATACTAATCTAAAAACAAACAAATGCAAATGATGATCAAATACGAATTTCACAATTTGGTTTTTAAATATAAAGAGATCACTTAGATTTTTCAACATCTAAGCAGAGTTTGAGTGAGAATTTTTATATTTAAAATCCCATCCCATCTTATTCTTTTTTTTTATTATTTTGTATTTTTATAATTATGATTTTAACAAAGAGAATTTATTTTTAGTTATGGAAATGTATGAAAATTTTTAATGAAATAAAATTTTCTAAATACCTTAACATTCAAGCGGCATTCGAGAATAGATTATTTCATAAAAAGTTTTCATGCAAATCCTTAAAAATTTAAAACAGATTTGGGGTTTTATGAAATTATGCATGCGACAAAAACAAATTACATAAATGCCATTACTGAATGCAAGATAAAAGCATGACCAAAAAACAAACTAACTACAAGCCTATGCACTTATAAAACTAAATTACAAATAAGTTTCATATGAAAATTTAAGAGAAAAAATGGATCAGACAAAACAAACTTTTGAAATTGGTTTGAATGTTTCATCATTTTGTTCTTTAAAAATCTAACCAAACAAACATAAAAATCCACCAAACAACTCATTCAACTATCATTTGTCCATTGAAAAATTAATCCAACACATTAAAAATTTAGTAAACATGACAAACACAAAAATCAAATACATAAGATCAAGCGATATTTGGCCACAAATGGATGAGCAAGTTTCGGCCAAGCAAGGAAACTACCTTGGCCATATATTTCTGGCATTTCTCTAAGCAATCAATGTTTCATTTCATTCAAACATGAATTGAACATCACAATTTTCATCATATAAAGGCATCTACAATATATGAAGAGTTTTAATAAGCATATGACGAACTAAGAAGAGAAGAAAATATGGAGTCAATATTTAAAGCCAAATAACATCCTCATATCACATTTTAGCTAAAATTTACGTAAACAACAAATAAACTTACCATTTAATCATCACAAATAACCTTCAAAAGTAAGGAAAACATCAATGAAAGACCAAAAGAGGTTAGGTCATAGTGAGGTTGTTTGGCCAAACCTTCAAAGGCCAAAATGGTGGATTGAAAATTCTTTGTTGCTTGGTTTTCTTGTTTCAATTTAAACTATGAACTAGTTGGATGTAAGTTAATCCAAGCTTAGGAAAAAATAAATGAAAAATTACCACTTTCTTTAAAAAAACAAAAAATTAAAAAGTAAATGATATAGAGGATGTGATGAATGTTATGGAATGAAAAGAAAAGAAAAAAAAAAAAGAAGCAGAATTCTACATACTCTAAGCTTTTCGTAACTTTTTTTCTTATTTTTTCTTCCTTTCCTCGTTTCATGAGCTTACCCTTTTCCCCAAAATTGTAGAAAACGACCCCCTTCTTGAAGAAGATGAAGACAAAATGTTCATCCAAGATTGAATTATAACCATTAGATTAAATATCATCCAAGGGCCAAAGTTTTTTTCTTTTTTTTTAAGGAATAATCTTTAGCCATTTGATCAAGATTTAATAAGAGATCTAATGGTCCATATTATTCACTACAACGATTGGATTTTTATAGCTCCTAAACCAAATGAAAGACCATTTTACCTTTAGTATAAATTTTTTTAGTATTTAGGTCATTTTTTTAGAAATCAATGTTCTCATGCTCATTTTTTAGATTTTAAAGCACAAAAAATCATGAAATATTATAAAATTAAGGTCTTAAAAAATCAAATTATAAAAATATCCTTAAAAGATTATGCTTAATTAAAGAGATGATTTAGGCCATAATTGGTTTGTTTGAGCCTTTCAAGCTAATCTTGATATATGTTTATCCTTAGTTACCCGATTTGAGTCTTATATATACTTTTCTTTGTTTTCACCTTCATGGATTAGTTATTGTTTAAATTATTATCTTTATCTTTTTACTTTACTTTTATGCATAAGGATCATTCAAAATTAAATATGAAAGCTACATTATAATGAGAAAATGGTTAGAGCTTGAAAAGAAAAGAAAGGTGTGAAAAAGTTTAGAGAAAAATAAAAACAAAATTCAAAAGTTAGAAAAAAGAAAACTCAAAATAGATATTCTATTTCAAAATTTTGTTTCAATTCTGTTTGAAAAGAAAGAAAGTTGTTAAAAAGAAAAAAAAAAGTTTGAGGGTGTACATTTTTCTTGAAAGCTTAAACTCAACAAAAAGATCTTAAATAATGCATGTTTAAGGGTATTGAGTCATAAATTTTCTTTTATCCTACCTCAACTCTAGCTTAGCATTACAAGTTTAATAAAGATAAATTGATCTTTGGTTAAGTGTATAAATCTATATTAGTGGAGACATATGTGAAAAAGAAAACATATGAAATCTAGTTATGGTTTAAGATTTTATGTTGATTTCACATTTGCATATTCTTAATTGAATGTCTTACATTGACATGAGATAGATTTCACACACACAAAAATTTCAATTGGAAAGGAGCTTGCCTTGAATGATTTTTGTGTTTATATTTATGATGTTCTTTAAGTTATGCTCATCATTAACTTTTTGAGAAAACTATGAGAATCTGATATTGGTAGTATATGTTGATTCTAGCTAGCTTATTATGATCTTATCAAAGTTTTGTTTTGCTTGCAGATAAGCAAAAGTTCAAGTTTGAGGGTTTGATGATTCTATAAAATAAAAGTTATTTTCGATGCTTAAATATGGAATTTTTGCTTTGTTCTTGGTAAAATAAAGTTTTTTTTACTTTAATGTGCTTAATTTGTCTTTATGTAAGAAATCTTGAAGAAAGTATTAGATCTTGGTAAATCTTGAAGAATCTTAACAAGTTTTTCATCCAGTTTAAGAAATCTAAGATGGTTTTTGGCAAGTTCTTGATTAATTTTGGAGTTTTTGGTGAATTTTGTAATAAAAGTACAACAATATGGTCAAGATTTGAATGTCGTTGCACAAAAAGCTCAAGAATGCATTGAATCTTGAAGTTGTATAAATGAAATTCATGCAAGAATCAAGATTATAGATGTTCATTATGTGAGGGATAAATTTGAAAATTCGAAGTTGAGTACAAATCCATGGTATTCTATGTAAGTGCACATGCATAGGATCATTATGGATGACGTGGTAACAAGTTTAATCTCATTGGCTAAGAGGTTGACCTGGATGCTTATGTGACATTATGAAATGGAATGGGATTTAAAATCTGTCCAAATGAAAAAGTCCAAACCACCTTAGGTGTTAACCTAATAAAAAATGAAATTCCTACTTTGACTAGAATTTTTCTTATTTCTATTTAAAATATGATGAAAAGGATGGCATAAAAAGAGTGTAAATTTAAAAATTCTCTAAAAAGCTGCTTCAAACTAGAAGTTTCCAAGAAACCTCCAAGAAGCACACCAAATAAGAATTGTCAATTTTGGTTTTTCTAAAAGACCTAGAAACACATATTCTTTAGATTTTAGAGATTTAATTCATCAAGAAGCAAGCAAGAAGGATCTCTATTTAGGATATCTCACATAAAAAGTTAAAAAAAGGTTAAGAAGTGGAAATTATTGGAGTTTTATGCTACTTTACCAAACCAACTTTTTCTTATCTTCAATTAAGAAGTTTGAACATTCAATAAGACTCAAGTTAGTTGCTACTTAACTTATTCAAGCCAAGATTCTGTTTAAGTTTAGTTTTGAGAAAAGATTCATTGCAACCCAACCAAGATCCCTTCAAGAAGATTTTTTCATTTAAGAAACAAAGTAAGGCCGAACTAAGAAGTCTTCCAAAAGAAAAAGTTCAAGGCTATCACACCTAGCTTAAGGTTTTTTTTGTAATCTTTGTCTATAAATACCTAGCTCTAGGCTTTAGGAAAAGGCCTGGTTAGGGTGATAGACCAACCTATTATATTCTTGCTTTAAGTTTTCCTTAGTTTTCAAATTCTTAAGTTTTTTTTGGTAAATTGTTTCAATTTTAATTTAAGCTTCAAATTCATTTTCTTTTTTGTTTCAATTTCAATTCACTTAATTGATGCTCTTGCTTTCTATTCATCTTAATTTGCAATTTTACTTTAAGTTTGATTTTGGTTTCATGTGATTTAAGTTTCTAAGTGTTGTGCTTACTTTAATTTATTGATTTGAGGTTTAGAGTGATTAATTTGATTTGAATGCATGTGATTAGCTTAATTAGGTTCTGTTTTATTTCAATTATGGTTTTAAATTAAAATTCAAGCATAATAAGCTTAAGTTAAAGTTTCTTAGATTAGGTTTTAAGTAGTTGCATGATTTAAAGTTTAATTGATATAATTTAGATTCTGCTCATTTCTAACTTAAAGTTTTTGAGTTTTTTGCATGTTAGTTTAAGTTGTATGTTTTTAAGTTTAACCAATTAATAAAGCATTTGGTTTCAACTTAATTTAGATTATTTAGTTTTGTTCGGGTTAATTATTATCTTTGCTTATTTAATTGTATGTTTTAAGTTATTGCATTATTTAATTCATTAATTTCGAATATCAAATCAATTCAAGTATATAAAGTTCATATTTATCAAAAAATATTGTTACAATTAATATTAATATGTATTAAAATTTATATAAAATAGAAAAACTAAAAAAAGGTATTTCAATATATCAATTTAAAAAATAGACCCACAATACCGCACAAACTTATTTTTAATAATAATAAAATTATAAACTTGATTTTCTTTTAAAAAATTTGGGTATATATAATTGAACTAAGATTTCTCTATCATCAATTATTGACAATTTTCTTTTGCGTCATCATTTCGTGGAGCCCCCGAATGTACAATGTAGATAACGCTTTTCTCTCTCTCTCCAAGTGAAGGCGAGCGCAAATGCCTGAAGTAAGAGGAGAAAAAAGATCAAATAATCAAATAATAAAAATCGATTTCAAATTTTAGTATTTGATTATCATCAGACCAGTTTTTTTATTTGATTGAATTTAGTTCAATATTAAATATTTACATTAGGTTTGACTTGGTTTTGGATAAAAAATAAAATAAAAAATATTTTAATTAAATCAAATTATATATTTTAATTAATTTTTATATATTTTAAATTTTATAAAATAAAATAATTATTTTATATATAAACTTATTTAAATATATTAAAAATTATATTAAATAATATAAAAATTTTAAAATTGATTTAAAATTCAATGAGTTGAATTAATAAAATTAAATTCGAATCAAATCGATTTTAAAAGAATTCAATTTAAATTCGAATTAATTTTTAAAAATCTATAATATTATATATTAATCGAAATAATTAAACCGAATTACTATCATCCTAGTTGATGTTTCTTTCAAGCAACATATTTATGTCTAATTTCTACATATAAATACTAATGATGTTAAAGTGCGTACGAGGAGGAATCAATTATATCAACGTAAAGTAAAAAGTTTTACACTCTCTTTTACCCCTAAAACCAAAATTAAATTTATAATTAATTTAAATCAAAATAATATTTTAAATTTTAACCTTGAATTTAATTTTGACCCAATCATATAATGTAAAACTCTTTACTTTTACATTGATATAAGTAGATTTTTATTCTATAAACACACATATACACACATACATATATATGTATATATATATATATATTATAATAGGAGATTGTATATTGTATTCGGAGAATGAAATGGAAATGTAGCAATATTTATCGGTAAGTGTTACACCTTTTTTTGATTTGGTTAAATGCAAGTGTTACGAATTTAATTTTAATCCAAAACTAAAAAAATGTATAATTTTTAATTTTTTTGGACATTGATCAAAATTATTAAATTTAAAAATATTATTTTAATTCAAATGTATTATAGATTTAATTTTAATCCATAAGTTAAAAAAAGTATAAAAGTTTCACTAATATATATAAGTGAATTTCTCTTATATATACATTCTCATATAACATATATACATATAGTAGATCTAAATTTTTTTTCATATATACAAGTAGTTAATCGATTATTAGTTAACCATACATAAAGTATAAATTATACAAAATTAAATTTCTCTTCGAAAGTTGCAAACTAAAATTAAAAATTATTAGTTTAAATTAAGTTCTCAAAAGCAATATTTGGCCTATAAAGTATAAACATTACTCTCTAATCTCTACGTACTTCCTATCCAGCAACAGCCTCCATTTAAAAGCATGCGTAAATGTAGCAGCTACGCTAAAGATCAATATAAACTACCTAATTATGCATACACGAGGGATTACTTATTTTAGCACCACATACATTTTACACTGAAAATAGCACTTCTTCACATATTTTTGCTGCAATCACTGTCCAGGGGATGATCTCCTTGAGGATCATGACTTTTAAAACAACAATCAAACAAAATAGAAGGTGGAAAAGAGGGCAAATTACCCTATTAGCAGCTAGATTTAGTGATCCATGGAGAAACGACAAGTGCTTTTGAAAAAGCAAATAGTCAGATTTCAGGGGTAGGCCAATCCTCATCCGTTGGTGGAGCCATCACCCACTCTCCATCTTCGTTTCTGACAAGCCCTTTGTTCTTCTCCACCCACCATGACTCTGGCACCAGGCACTCATCTTTCAGAAACGCACAAGACTTATTCACTAAAGCCAAACTTCTCTTCACTTTCAGCACGAACTCTCCTTCCTTTCCATTCCACCCTGCTACTATGTGCAACATAGCCTGTAAATTATGCCAATCACTTGGATTCTTTGAATCCTTCAAACTTGGCGATTTCCTCGTATCAATTACCAGTTTTGTTCCCGAATATACATAACCCAACAACCGGCTAGGATAGTGGGGAATGAGATCAATCGTGTTCTTTATATGCAAAACAGTAAGATTTGGATACCTTTTCATCCTCTCATCAAAAGCCTTATTTCCCACTTGTGGGCACCCAAAAACAAAAGCTGCCACTGGAATATTATCGAAACCATTCTCAACCACATCGAAAGCACTTATAACCGATAAGCTAGCCCCCAAACTATGCCCAGTAAACACTATACTTAGATTTTCATCTTTATATCTCTCTTTCAACTCTTTAATCTTACCCAAAAGCTGTGTCCTTGCACTTACTTTTGTAAAAGGTGATTTGGGATCCTCAGAAATGTACATCGTCAGCCAACCGAGCATCACTTTAGGCTTCTTCTCATTTTCATCATCACTGTCACTGCCGCTACTGCCATCGTTTTCCTTGTTAGTATTTTCGTTGACTCGCAAAAGAGGTTTTGCAGACTCAAGCTTTGCGCCAAGAACATCAACCCACTCGTAGTCTCTCGTAGTTCCTCGCCACACTACATAGATCTCGCGACGACCCAGAGCTTTTGTTATTTCATCGGACGTCGTGGCTATGTAGCCAATCCAGTTTGATTCGCGGTCCCAGGTCTCCCGTGACTTGGAGTGGAGCAAGAAGGCTTCAGGGAGACTGACGCGAGCAGTGGCATAGAGAAACGATTCTACTCTGTAATCGAAGGCAGACTCCAGCATGACTTTGTCAAAGAAATAAGACTTGCCATAGCGGCTGGTGCCACAGAACTTGGAGTTTGGGTCGTTGTTGAAGGCGTCATATGTGGCCTGGCAGAAGTCACCACAGCGGAGGATGAGCTTGCGAAGTGAGAGGTGAAGAGGATCAAGAAGAGAGTCCCAGTTTTTGCTGCCAAGTAGTTCTTGCCATGACGGTTCTGGTTCTTGATTTGTGGCCATGAGCAAGCGAGCTGCAAAAAACGGTGATGCTACCAAGCAAGGAAAGAGTATCTTGCTCGGGAAGTTTCAATGTCGATGGGAAAGGTCGCAACTATTTGATAGGATAAAACCACATTCCTAATGACAATATGCCATGGCCCATAATCCCCCAATAAAACGATAATTATTATAAAAATGATTTTGCGAAAATTAATTAGTCAGGTGGACAATAGAAAATTAAGTTATTGTTGTTAAAATATTTTATAACGTTTAGTGATTTTGGATCAATTTACATGGTATTTAAGTTGATATTTGAAGGTTATAAATTTAAAAAAAATTTATTCACATAATAGTTTTTTTGAATAAGTATAAAAATAAAAAAAAATAGAATAAATTAAAATTTTCAAAAAAAACATATTTTGTAATAAAATTTGTATTTAACGTAATGTTAATGTACACATTCATACATTGTCAATAACTCATACAATATAATCTCATTAATGAATAAAGTTGAAAATGTAATAATCTTTAAAAATAAATACTTATGATTAATATCATATGTTTAATTAATTAATTAGATAAAATTTAAAAATAGTTACGATTTTTCTTTCAGCTTTCTCCTTTGAATATCGAGGGATAGGAACTGGAAAACGTCTTTCATTTTGTAAAAGACTACTGAATTTTCAAATTATTTTATCCAATTCCTATAGCACATGATGACCACCAAACCAGACAAAATGCTACACCTGGATCCACGGCAACTAATGCTCCTCTCCAAACCCAATGAATAACTCCACCCTAGATAGTTTGGTTAGAAGTCTTTGTCTTTGTTTTTCGTGGAGGCTTTGGTGAGGAAGGCTAAGTTGAAATTAATGGTGAATTATAAGATAAGCTGATTCGGTAATTGCATATTTTGAAGAACGCGGATTTTAAAATATAGCTAACAAATCAAAATTTAGCTTTTGTTAATAATCAAAGTTTTGTATTTCATGAAAAAGTTCTGTTTTTCAACTTTGACTGATTTTAGATAAACATTTTTTAGTTTAGAAGGTGTTCCAATCTTGGTCATGAATCATTATTATTCACCTAATTAGTTGAAGGATAAACTCATGCAAGATATGTACAAATATATATATATATATTTACTTGTTTAGTGAAAATATAAGTGAAAGTACGATTTGAATTTTCGGTTGTTGAACAACATTATAGTATGAAAATTATTCGTTTCCATAATGTAAGTCTTTTAACATAACGAAACAAGAATTCCGCTTCAAGGTTGTACAATGCCTACTCAATTGCTTTCTCTCTTTTTTTCTCAATTTCTTTTCTTTCATTATGTGAGAATTTTTTTCTCTAATTTTTCCTTAATGGCCAAATACCATTATTAGTGAGATAAGGGGCAACAATTTTTTCAAGTGTATTGTAAACTATCCTAGGTAGTTTTCATGCATAAAAGTAAATTGCCCAAGGTAGTTGTTAGTATTAGGGTGCTTAGTTCACCCATTATGGGCAAATCCAACCCCTTTTCTCTTACATCTCCCACTTGTATAGAATATGTGCCAAACTCTCATGATCTTAAGAAGTTTTCTCTATCATTTACTATAGACACTTAATTTTGTCTGACACAATTTGATCGTGTTCGATTTTGATTTTGGTTTGGTTGTGTCAATTTCAAGCATTTTGAATGTTTTAATTTGATTGGGCTTATTTTGACTTCATATTAAATATTTGGGATCATTTTACATGGGTTGAAACTTGACCCAATTCATTTTTGGGTTACTTAGGTTTAAGCGACCAATAGAAGTCTAAGTTGATTTTTACACTTAAAGTCTAATTCTAGGCCCAAATTCAATTTTAAAACCTAATTCAGTTTTAGGTTAAATTCATGATTATATCATATGGCCTAGAAACCCAAAAGCCAATAAAAGCCCATATTCCAATTTTAAAATTTAAAACCCAAATGCATTTTCTTTAAGATCAAAAATGAAAAAAAAAGAAAAAACACTAAAAGGTTGGTTGCCATGGCAACAACTTTCCCTCACTTTACATCTTCCATAAATTTTGCTATTCTTCCTCTCAATCTATCAACACCATTTTCAGTTAACTTAGTTTGCCCCTTATTTTTCACCTTTAGCTTTATAAGAAAAATTCATCTAAGTCCATGAACAAAAAATACAATAATTATTGTTACAATACTAAGCCAAAAAACTCAATCACTTTTAAGTTTTCATAGAGGCATAGAACGACTGGGGCAAAAAAAAAATTATGGCCAACTTAAAAGAAAGGATTCAACATAGTTAAAAGGAAACTATTTCTTCAAAAAAAATCATACATAAATTGAAAACAAGCATAGGCTCTTAAATACCTAGTAAAAGACCTATCATCAACACTCACCTTCCACAAAACATCCATTCAACTAAAACCACCTGACCACTTCTCATTATTATTACCCACAAAAACTACTTATCCAACATCATCACATACCTAAATTACCTACAAAAAAAATAAACCATAAAAAAAAACAAAAAATCTTATCATTTTCTTTCAAAAATCATAAAAAACAACAATCAGAATATAACACCACAATCTTTATCGATTGGTGACAACCTAATAGAAGAAAGTTTTTTAAAAAAAGAAAGAAAATGAAATAGTGTTCAGTTAAAGAAAAATAGATAAGATTGTGATTGAGTCTAAGTTTCAACAACTAGAGGAAATGAGGAAAAAAACGAAAAGAATGAAGAAAAAGAAAAGAAAGAGAAGTCTCGACTGATAAGGGGAAAAAGAGGGAGGAATGATGACAATGGAAGAAAAAGGAGAAGAAAAAAAAAAGAAAGAGAAGAAAAAAAAGAGAAAAAAAAAAGAAAGGAAGCATTGGTGTTTGACAAAAAGAAAAACGAAAATATGAGGGAAGAATAAGAAAAAAAAAAGAAAAGAAAAAAGATAAGAAAGGAATAAAAAATGGGAAGGCTCAATCTTCGCATCAATAATCGAAGGAAAGAAATAGGAAGAAAAATGGGGGAAGAAAGAAATAAAAAGAAGAAAAAAGAAATAAGGGAAAAAAGAAAAGAAAGTTTTGAAAAGTCAAAAAGGTTGATTTCTTTAAAAAAATAATTAAAAACAAAAGAATGGAGAATCAAAGTTAGATTAGACCCTACACATTCAACTTGGCCCTACCCATTCAACTTAACCTTACCCAGAAACCCGTTAAGCTTGGATCTCCATCTTCACTAGTTTATTTTGGGTCTAAGTCCAAAGCTTAGTTGGGTATATTTTTTTACCCATTTGTTTTATTATGTTGTTATATGTATTTAATTGTTTTGACAATTATTTTTGTTTTAACATTCTGTTGCTTTGGATATTTTCTTTAATAAATATTTGTGAATGATTGAAGTTGTCAAAATAAAATTTAAGATAAAAATAAAATTATAATAATTTTATGGCTTAAAATGATTGTCCATTTCTAAGGAGGGTTTTAAAAATAATAAATTAGATAAAATTTTTGTATGAAAATATGATTTTGATTGCCTTCCCTAGATATTAGAAGAGGTTCAAATGATTATTCTTACAAAAGGAGAATTATCTTTTTTAAAAAAAAATATATATTTATATGAGTTTCATAAGTGAAAAAGTGAATTTTTTTAATTTCACTTAGATATTGAGAAATTAAAAAGAATAAATAAAAAATAAAAAGTATTTTTTAACACAAAAAATGTCATTGCCATCATAAATAAAATCTACTTAGAAAAAAAATTACATGTATTATTTAATTTATGTTCACATATGCATCTCATGTAATAATAACAAATGTGAAATAGTAAGGTATCAATCGTTTATTTTTTAAAATTTCTTTTAGAAAAATGGAAGAAATTGATTTTAAGAATCTTACCTAAATATTGGAGGTTATTTAAATAATATTTTACTAAGGAACATCATTTTTATTTTTACCAAAATTAATCTTGAAATTTTTTAAAGTGCAGGATTAAATTTCTTAAATTCCATATAAATATTAGAGAATTACAAAAAAAATTTCCAAAAAATAAATAAATATTTTTTACATCATTAAATGTTTTTTAAAAGTAATAATGAAAAAGGAAATAAAGTTAAACATATATAAGATGGATCTAGTTGGTTACTATATTTTTTATTTTGTATTTGCATCATCCATTTGCTTTATACGACATCAATTGCATTTCATTAATTTCAAAAATATAAAGCAACAAATGTAATTTTGATAGAGTTTTTTTTTTAGAAATAAATACTAATATTTTTAGGTAAAAATAATTATTGAAACTACTTAGATATTAGATGGTATTTTAATAATTATTCTTTATAAGGAAATATTGTACTAGTTTTCAAGAAATATTGTACTAGTTTTCAAGAATTATTATGAAAATCACCGGTAGAAAAATATTCTTTAAAATTTCTTCTACATATTGGGAAATTTAGAAAATGTCTTGAAATTAAAGATTTTCATCTTATTCCAAAATAAAAGGTTTTAAAAAGATTTTTGAAAAAAAAAAAGGTTAAGGGAATTATTTTAAATATTAGAATTAAAGTAATTTTCATCTAAGAATGGTAAGGATAGAATATTCGCTATTTTTAACATATCTGTATTTGAATTAATATTTATAATATTCAAATCCATTTAAATTGAATATCATTATCCAAATCTAAATCCATTTAAATAAGCACTATTTGTTTAAATATCCAAATCTGCAAAAATATTCATTTATACAAAGTTTTGTCAATGTAAAATAAAAAAAATTTAATTTAAAATTCAAGTTCACATTTAATGGATAATAAATAAAAGTTATTTTTTAAGGTCCAAAAACTTAAAATTTTATATATGTAAATGAATAATGAATTCGGATACGGATTCGGATATTCATTACTATTTATTAAAACTTAAATAGATTCAGATATTGAATATCTAAGGGATACTATTTGTATCCGGTCTGAATCCTTTACAGATAGTAAATTTCTTATCCGAATCCATTAATTATTTGTTTCCAACTATCCGAATCCGATATAAATAGATCGGATAATGACAAACATCCGTTTATTTACTATCTATTGTCATCCCTATTTTCATTAAGGTAAAAGG